CCACGCTACTTCTGATACAAGCCAGGATGCTGTTGGACTTCTTGGACACCTGGGCACACTGCTGTGCTGGCTCAAGCCAGCTGTCAGCTAGCATCTCCAGGTCCTTTCCCTCCAGGCAGCTTTCCAGCCACTCTTCCCCAAGCCTGTAGCACTTGCTGTGACCCAAGTGCAAGACCCCGCACTTAGCCTTGTCGAATCTCATACAGTTGGCCTCGGCCCATCCATTCCAGCTATCCAGGTCGCTCTGTAGAGCCTTCCTACCCTCAAGCAGATCAACACTCCCGCCCAACTTGGTGTTGTTGGCAAAGTTACTGAGGGTGCACTCAATCCCCTCATACAGATCATTGATAAAGGTATTAAACAAGACTGGCCCCAGAACTGAGCCCTGGGGAACACCGCTTGTCACCAGCCAACAACTGGATTTAACCCCGTTCACAGGTCTCAGGGCCCAGCCATCCAGCCAGTTTTTTATCCAGTGAAGAGCACGCCTGTCTAAGCCATGAGCCGCCAGCTTCTCTAGGAGAATGCTGTGGGAGACAGTATCAAAGGCTTTGCTGAAGTCCAGGTAGACAACATCCACAGCCTTTCCCTCATTCACTAGGTAGGTCACCTGGTCATAGAAGGAGATCAGGTTGGTCAGGCAGGACCTGCCTTTCATGAACCTTTGCTGGCTGGACCTGATCCCTGGTTGTCCTGCACGTGCTTGCTGAGCACACTCAACATGAGCTGTTTCATAACCTACCCTAGTACAGAGGTCACACTGACAGGCCTGTAGTTCCCCAGATCCTCCTTCTGGCCCTTCCTGGAGATGGGCAACACATTTGCTAACTTCCAGTCAACTGGGACTTCTCTGGTTAGACAGGACTACTGATAAATGATTGAAAGTGGCTTGGTGAGCTCTTCTGCCACTACCCTTGGGTGGATCCCATCCAGCCCCATAGAATTGTGTGTGTCTAAGTGATGTGGCAGGTCACTAACTGTCTCCCCTTGTATTATGGGGGCTTCATTCTGCTCCCCATCCCTGTCGTCCAGCTCAGGGGGCTGAGTACCATGACAACAATTGATCTTATTATTAAAGACTGAGGCAAAGAAGGCATTAAGTGCTTCAGCCTTTTCCTCATACTTTGTCATTATGTTTCCCCCTGCATACAATAAAGGATGTAGATTCTCCTTAGCATTCTTTTTGTTGTGAATGTATTTATAGAAACATTTTTTACTGTCTTTTACTGCAGTAGCCAAATTTAGTTGGGCTTTAGCCCTTCTAGTTTTCTCCCTGAATAACCTCAAGACATCTTTGTAGTCCTCCCAAGTTGCCTGCCCCTTCCTCCAAAAGTCATAAACTCTATTTTTTTTCCCCCGAGTTCCAGCCAAAGCTCTCTGTTCAGCCAGGCCAATCTTCTTCCCCACCGGCTCGCATTTCAGCACATATGGATAGCCTGCTTCTATGCCTTCAAGATTTTCTTCTTGAAGAATGTCCAGCCTTCCTGCACTCCTTTGCCCTCCAGGACTGCCTCCCAAGCAACTCTGTCAACGAGGCCCCTAAACAGGCCAAAGTCTGCCCTCCAAAAGTCCAAGGTAGCAGTTTTGCTAACACCCCTCCTTACTTCTCCAAGAATTGAAGAGGTCAACCGAATTCTGTCTTAAGCATAATAGATCCTGGTGAATCTATCTGGATAAATCCAAAAGGAGAGAAAAAACCCAAACAGTAATCACGGGAATTTTTTAACACTGAAAACTAACTGATCATCTATGGGTACATTGAAAAGGTTAGTAAAACAAAGCACAAATTAGCTTACTTTATTTCGGGAGTAACGATTTCTGCTGCTAAGCTGTCTGAAGGCTCTTGTCTTCCCAGAGGCATCAATCCTGGGTTAGGAAAAGTAAAAAATTTAGCAAGCAGACCAGTAACTTTCTTTAGAAGACCAGAAGTAAACATTGTTCTAGAGGCTTACTGTTTAAGACAATGGAAAATGACAGAAAGTCAGGCTACAGCAAGACAGACAGACAAGCACAATTTCATTTGAAGAATAGTCATTACTTCTGTCTTCATCCATTCTGACGAAGTAATTTTGTGGAGTAGTTTCTGCCCATTAGCTTATCCAAGAACTACAAAGCTGTGCAACGTTACACACAGAAATTCATTGCAAGACATAAAACCTCATATATGCATCAGAAAACTTAATATCTCTCTAAATAAAATTATGTAACTACACAAAAATCAGAAATATGTTATAAAAATATCACACTGGGGAGGAGACGAAAATTTCTGATTGACTGAAATAATGTTTGAAGTTTTCAAATGCTTACGAAGTTATGAATAGCTAAAGCAGCTTTTCACTGCTGGTATTAGAGGAGCTTAAATTTATTCTGTGCTAAACAAAAGCACATTCAATACTCTCCAGAGAAGTCCCGTAAACTTGAGAAAACATGCATTTAATCTCTTTATTTGTTCTTTACCTGTAGTGGTGAGCTGACCCTCCTGAGCTTGTACACATCTAAGCTCTTCAATAGTTTCTTTCAGAGAATCCCTTTCTGTTCTTAATCTCTGAATAATTTGGAAAGAGAATGAATATCAGTCTTGGCACTACATCTTTAACAGTATACAAGTCACCAAAAAGGCACGGCCTTCAACAGTTTAAAAATCATTCAATGTAATTATAGAGATGATTTTCAAATTAAGGCATCTCAGTCTATTTCATAACATAATTAATACAAATATTGTATTTTCCACATTAACAGTGGTTTTCTGAGAAGGGTTGCTGCTCTGTATTACACTTATGGGTGTAAAAATATCAGGGTATAAGCCTGCAAAATCAAGCTATTAGTGATACAAAGTTCTGGTACCAGGTAGTAAACAGCACCCACTGGAGCCACTCAGCCATCCTCCTTTTCCCCTCATTGCAGCTGATTCCAAAAGAAAGGGAAGTGAACTAAGAGACCATAGACTTTTCCCTCTCCAAGAAACCAAGGTTTAGCGAGGAGTGAAATAAAAAGCAGGTGAATACATAATCAACACAACAAACCGTGTAAACTTCATTTTGTTTGTCTTTCAAGAGTGAAAGTCTGAGCAGCATTTCCATATTACCTTCCTCCATTGTGTCAACTGGCCTTGTCATTCATAGCATCTTAGCTGTGGAAGAAAACTAGTTGCTTGAGGCTCAGTCCAAAGAGAACTGAAGAACAGGACTGGACCACCTTGGGATCTAGGCAGATGAGCTCTTAAGTACCATCAAGCAAATACTGTCTCAATTTGGCACAGGCCCCCCTTTTGGCAAAACCAGAGAATCTACAGGTAGCATCAAATTTTTGTCCAGAAGGTTGCCAAGATTAAAAAATGAAAGGAGAAAAAGGCAACTATATAAAGATCCAAGTTGCAGTTTGCTCCAAAATCTGACACGTCCAGTATTACTAAAAGGTCTAGGACAGACCTCGGCTCCGTGTAGGTATGGAGTTGTGTAGGCTGACAGCTCCTTTCATTTCATCCTATTAATGGTTTGATTCAGATATATTTTATATTTCAGCCCAAATAGATCCAGGACTTGGAATCACTTTGGCAAAGAACATTTTGGTGAGGTGCGACAGAGGCTTCTGCTGTATTTCTGAATCCTACAAGGTGAATGAACTGTGGTGCAACTGTCAGAGCAATCTGAACAAAGCCTATATTCTGTTACACTGAAAGTCATTTCACAAACCCCACAGGTGAATAAACTGTTTTAACCACAAATACTACAGAAGAGCCACACAGAGGAGTGCTCAAACTCAGCTGCTGAAAGCAAGGACTCTGCAGTCTGCTACCATCAGTCAGAAAACACCAGGTTGATTAATCAAATGCCAGAATATTTTAACAAATAGAAAAAGCTCTAGGGCTGCATTTGTACACTACAGACAAAGCAAACTCAACAAAGTACCTTAGTACTTATCATACAACACACCTCAGCAGCAAAATTCCAAGCTACATAGCTGAAGATATCAAAAACACTACCACACTTTGCCAGAACATAAAGACAAGGACAAAATCAATTTCAGTAACTGTTTCCAAAATACAACTGACAAGATACTGCTATGTAGCTTGTGACCTATGGTGGGCAACCTTACTGATACATGTGTGACAACAGGGAACAGCAAAAATAGGTAACGTAGGTACTGAATCGCTAATTCAAATGCTGAGAGACTTCAGCTGTAATCTGCTTCTCACATGTGTATATCCATTCAAAATAATGTATTGGAAAACAAAAAAAAATTTGCTATTTGCCAGGGGTAAAATGGAAAACTATATGACAGTGGCCTGCAATTCAGATCCTTTGTGCAAGATGAAATGGTCCACCAAGCAATGGGTAAGCCACAGACAACCTTACCATTGTCAAACATAAGAAAACTGGAAAAACAAACTTTAAATAAAGAGCAGGAAACAAAGCCAAAGCACAGTACAAATACAGTTTTTATGGGCATAAAAGGACAAGTGTCCACAATAGTTTGAAAATTTAATAAAATATGGAAATCAAAGACCTATGAACAGAAAATAACTGAAAACTTTCAGTTCAAATGCTATTCAAGTGCAAAGGCTGGAAATTTTGGAAAGAATTGGATAGGAAATATGACTATTGAGGGAAAAGCCTACAGAGATTCTGACTGATGGATAGATGACTTACACTTAAAACAAGCCTAAGAAATTGTTAACTCAAAGCGCTGGCCTTGGTTTGAGGTAGTTTGAGGCACCTGTTTATACATTCATATGAAACAAGCCAAAACAAACTGGTGAAAAACAGTAGCGTGCAAGAGAAGTCTGAAGGATCAGCCCTGGCAAGAGAGGACAGAGCACTTAATTGCAGAATCACTAGCAGCAAATGACAGAGAGGAAGGAAATAGACTGGTATCCATCCTGTGTGTTCCATGTTGGCAGTACAAGATAGATCAACAAGGAGCTGTCATAAAAGGCAAGATCGCCACAAAGGACACGTCCCTCCACATGACTCCTACACCTCTTGCTGCAGTAGTTTTGACTCCACAAAGAGAAACATGCTGATGGTACCTCAAAGAGTGCTTTAGAAAAAATGCAACAGGAGTTTAGTTCTAGGATGATACTGCAGAAACCCTACTTTAAATACTTTTTCAGAATACATTACAATTACCCTGGGTGTTTATTAACCTCATGGTAAATGGTCAAGAAACAACTTCAGACCCCTAATATGAAGGCTTTTCCTCTTAAAAACAGGTTGCATACCTTTTTGTACAGCCACTTAATTCCAAGCTGTACAGTTCTTAGGTTTAAAAAGGGATCTCTTACACAAACATTAGAAAATGTCAAGTGAAAAAAGACTTCCTAATTTAAAAAGCTTGCTGTAAATGGCTAACTATAATTACCGTATCTCTGTGTTATAAGGACACAAAGTTGCTGTCGCTACTACCAAAAAAATAACACCTTGGCACTTACATCTTTTTCTTTTTGGAGGCTGTCTACTTTTTCTTTCAGTCGTTTGCATTCATAATCTAATTTATCAGCTTTCTTGGATTCTTCAGATAACCTGTTTTGTAGTTCAACTGCCTGTGAGAACAAGAACCAATAATTTGTCTGCAAATAGTAATATTAAAACAAAACATATAAAACAAATTAGCCAATTACCATGCACCACGAGTCATGTTGTAAACAAGCGATATAGTTACCTATAGGACATACTAAAAACTGCTGTCATCACTTGTTCTGTATTTCAGCAAAACCAACAGCATTCAAGCATTAGGCCTTAGCACAAGCAAAAGAAGCAAAAACTGTGAAGTATTTCCAGTACATCTAGAAACAAGAATTTAAGCCCAAGCATGGTTTACAGAAAAAGTTATACAGTTCTATGGATCAAAGAGCTTAAGGGAAGTAGACAAATCCTTCTGCATTCTGAGAAGGCTAAGGACAAAGAAAAAACTCTCAAGAAAGCAAATTATCTACACCTTTTGTTAACCCTATTTCACAAGCCTCACTCAGTATTCAACCACCCGTTTATGCAGTCAGGTAATGTTTCTTAACCTGAGATTTTCCTAATATTTTCTAATACACTAACACAAAGATTCAGCCACAGGCTCATAAACAGTTTTCTTTACTTCAGAAGGAACCATTGCTAACAAAGTCACATGAATACTTTTGACTACAGATCAGTAAAGAGCTTTTAAAATTAAGTGAGCAGAAATCTGAAAGTTGAGCAGAACTATCAGTGAATGGGAGGCAAATTAGTGAAGTCTTGCCTTTTCAAAACTCTCGACCTTTACTAGCAAAGGCTCATTCCCAGGACATTAGTAAAGCTCATAATGCAGAGAGCGTGGAAGCAAGTAAACCGAATAGACTGACCTGCAAACACAAAAGCTGAATGAAGACTCAGCTAAAGACATACAGCTTCTTCTGAAGCAATTCATAAGAAGGCTTTTTCATGGCTTTTAGATTATAGAGAAAGAGACTAACAAATTGTGAAGCAAAGCAGTAGCCATACCTACATTAGGAGTGCCTAGTGGTTCTAATTACCTTCTATTTTCAATATGTATAGCTATAGCAAAATAACTACCAGGCCTAAGGAATCTACATGGCTTTAAGTCTTAAAGAAGGACTTTGCTGTTGTTGTTCTTAAATTAAATGCTGCAAAAAAAAGCACAGGCCTGCCATTTCTGAGACTGTCAAATTAAAACAAATATATCAAAATGTTAAATATGAAAATATTTTGTTTCTCAGATGTGACATCCATCACTGGGGCTATCAGAATAACTGCAGGTATAAAAAAATATGCAGGCCTTGACCTGTGATTTTGCCTCCACTTGCAAAATAGATGTCTTTTTACCCCAAGTGGAAACAAACACATTAATGTTTGTAATCACTCATGCTATGGTAATGGTATGTAGAAAAACACAGCAGGAAATAAATTGTCTTGAATTGGGACTTGGGAGTGTATAGAAAGATATATAGCTACATGGTAATGCAGAATATTAAAAAAAAAAATGAACTGCCATCACATTTACTGAGCATTGTCTGACATGTGGAATGAGTAAAGCAGGAATCTTGCAGCAAAGAAAAGCAAGACATGCTGTTAAAAATGTATCAGAACACACATGCACAAAGGGGCTGAATTAAAATTACAAAAAATAATCCTGAAATCTTCACATTTCAATTCTTCATGCTGCAATTAAAAGTTTCTTAGAAAATGCTTCCACTTCCTTTCAGAAAAGTAAACAAAACCTCTTAAATAAATAAACACTATTACATTTCCCAGCACAATACACCACCGCTAGCCTCTCATCCCACAGAAGCTGCTGGGTGGGGTGAAGATGTGATTTGCTTGCAGATCACTACAGGATTTTGAACCAAGCACTTTCATCTACACAGCACAGAGCTTCTAAGTCAAAGAAATAACACCTCTGATGGCATCACCATGATTGGGGTTCGATCCTTCACACACCAGACAAGGTATGCTCCACTACAGGGGCACACTAGTGCTCAGCAGTGACATAACATCATAATCCTTATACCTGGCTTAATTCTTATAGCACAATTTAGGATTCCCAGAAACTAATTTTGTGACAGCTCATGATTGACAGGCAGGTCTCAAAAGAAGCCCAGCCTTATGGACACTGAAGGCAAACACACTGTGTGTTTGTTTTGAGGCACTGTGATTAGGTGAAGAAAACTCACATCTGTCATGAGACACCTGAGGTTTATTCCAATCTCAGCTAGTGGAACAGTTTTGTACAAATCAGCAGATCCTCAGATGTGAAATCCTACCCATAAAACACAGGGAATGATGAAGGAAGGAGTACTTCTGCAGCACTAATGATGGGACCACCCCTTCCAAAATCTTTATTGTTGGTGAAGTAAGAGGGACCAGATGCAGATGTTGAGGTTACACACCTATATCACAGTCAGCTGTTCAATGGAGTGAAGTATTTGTTGCCAGTAAACATGATGCTACTCATGTGTGAAAGGCCATTGCTTTCTACACTTACTTTTCCCTTTGACTGTCTGTTATTTCAGCATTTTTCTTGTCCAAGCTCTTTTTCTGGTGGAATCATTCTGACTGTATTTACAATTAGCCCATAGAGGCTGAAGCTAGTTGTCTTAATAACTGTGATGACCAGGTGCAGGGAAAAAGCCACCAAGTCTTAGGGACACACAGTGCTCCTGGGCTTGCAATGTTGTTAGTGGTTGTTTCTGTATTTTTATTCTGCTGTAAGCTGACATACAGGGTGGGACCCCTGTGCCATGATCATTCGAGCTTATAAGCAGGCAGAAGTACAGAGCAGGCACTACTACTTCAAAGAACCACACTCTGTCCGGCCCTGTAACAAGAATCCCAGAATTATGTCATGTGAATGCAGTGTAGAAGCAGAGAGAAGATTAAGCACATCTTCCACCTTTACAGAAACAGGATTGCATGGCACTTTGATAAGCAGGAGGATAAACAGATGCCTTTCACTCCAAAGAGTGTTCTAGTGACATTTTCTACTCTGCTGGGTGCATATAAACAATAGGGATGATACACATCCTTCTCTCTTCATAACTGGGCAAATTCAGACATATCAGACAAACTAGAACCTTTAAAAAAAAAAAAAGGTTACTTAATCACAGGGATAACTTACCTTAGCCATGGTGCATTCCTCACTGACAGAAATTTGTAAGTGAAAAGTGGATACTTTTTCTGAAAAAAGAGGTTCTAATTCAAGCCTCACTACCGAATATGAATTAGGAATAATTTGAGAAAAAAAACCTTACATCTGTGGATTTTTTAGAAGTAAGAAATACTGCTTATTGGCAAACTAATGTAAATGTGAAATAATAGTAAGAATTGCAGGAAAGGAGGACAAAGGTAGTACCAACAAAAGGAGTTGTTTGTTCATAATTTCTTTTCTACTTTCAGGTATTAGCTGTATTATCAAGAGAAGGTGTTGAACAATACAGAGAATTGTTGCAATGATGTTCTCACCTGTCTCTTGTACGTTTCCAGCTGACTGCGTGCTGCATTGGCCTTCCTTAGTTCTTCTTCCAGGCTCACAGTATTTTGCATGTACATTGTATTCTTCTCTTCTAAGAGTTTCACTTGCCGCCGCAAATCACCCAGGTCTTCCAATTTCTTTTTGTATGACTCTACCTGGCTTTCTAACTTCGCTACTTTATCAGAAGAATGCCTGGAGGGACAGATTTGTATCAAATTTGTACTCTGAAAATTAACAAAATTAAATGTCCTGAAGCTTCCTCAGTATTTTGCCTTAATGCAGAAGAAATTCTGAGACACCATGTGGAGAACAAGGAAGCAATCATACCCTCCTATTACTGATGTTCTCACTTTTATATTGTCTGCTTCCCTCCCATAACTATTTGTCAACTCGAAGAGCTGCTGATGGAGGTACTTTTAGACACTATCGCTTTTCCTGATACAACCTTCTTACCTGCTTCCAATCTTAAAATAATAGTTAAGGCATCTTCACTCCCACCCATTTCCTTTCAATTCTAAATTGATCCTTAGTCCTGCATTTTACAAGGGTAAAGAATAACATTTTCAGCCATTCAATTTGTTTTAATGATAGTCAGGAATAAAATCATAAAGATCTATCTCCTGGGCAGCATATACTTGGTAACACAAAAGTACCATAGCAGCTTTGGAGCCTGACTCCTTTTAGAAAAATGAAACAGGCTCCATTCATAACATTCCAGAGCTTTTTCAATCCGCCTGGTGCACTGCCAGGACAGCAACAGCCCTCACCCCGAACCACCCACATCCCCACTATTATTACTGTCTCCAGTTTCATTTTAGAACCAAGTGATTTACAGACTCATTTTCCCATGAAATCTGGAGAATCCCCCATTGAATTGATGGTTGATTTACGGGACATAGGGCAAGCCAAAAGTCCTTAATCACCACTGAAGTGCAGAGCCTCTCTCTGGGGCAAGGAATTACTCTTTGAACCTGTTCTGCCCACTCAGATAGTTTATGGAATTGTGCAACTTGATGGGCTCATTCCTTACATTAATGACAGAAGAGGTAAAGACAGATAGCATTGGTAGAAAGCTGCTGGAGAATTAGAAAATGAAGTATTAAAATAAGCCTTTCTAGACTTGCTGAAGAGCGATACAGGTGGGCAGTGGAAAACTGTTCTGAATCATTTGGTTGGAAAAGACCTTTAAGATCATCAAGTCCAACCGTACACGGCCACTACTAAACCATGTCTCTAAGTACCTCATCTACTCATCTTTTAAATACCTCCAGGGATGGGGACTTGACCACTTCCTGAGCAGCCTGTTCCAGTGCCTGATAACCTTTTCAGTGCAGAAATTTTTTCTAATGTCTAATCTAAACCTCCTCTGGTGCAACTTGAGGCCATTTCCTCTTGTCTTATTGCTTGGTACTTGGGAAGAGAGAACAACACCCACCTCGCTACAACCTCCTGTCAGGCAGTTGTAGAGGGTGATAAGGTCTCCCCTCAGCCTCCTCTTCTGCAGGCTAACCAGCCCCAGTTCCCTCAGCCACTCCTCTTAAGACTTGTGCTCCAGGCCCCTCTCCAGCTTCGTTGCCCTTCTCTGGACACACTCCAGAGCCTCAACTTCCTTCTTGTAGTGAGGGGCTCAGAACTGAACACAGGATTCAAGGTGCAGCCCCACCAATGCCAAGTACAGGGGGATGGCAACGTCCCCACTCCTGCTGGTCACACTATTTGTGATACAAGCCAGGATGCCATTGGCAAGATGACACTACTGAAGGATTATGTTCCATAGTAAAAGAGGCTGCCCCACCCTATAAAACACCTAGTATCTTCAAATCCTGACAACTTTGGGTGCTAAAATCCAGTGGCAAAGAGAGCTGTAACAGATGTTGTTCATATTAGCATTATATGATGATGAAGGTGACTTGAGAATATCCAAGAGATCAGTGAGTGACTTGTTATGATCATAAGATGGTATAGGATTGTTAAGTTTACTAATAGTTAGTGATTAGGTACATAATAAATAACCAATTTACTTAAGCAGAATTGTGTGGTGGTCTGTGTACTTAACTGGAGGATCTAAAAGAACTTTGACATTGAGAAAGTGTTTAAAATTACGTTAAAAAAAAGTTATTGAAGACTAAGTAAACAAGTTATATGGATTAAAAGTTAACAGTTAAAACAGGGTTAATGGAACAGAGTTTACCTGAGTACATCTATCTCATCCTTCAAAGACTGAGCCTCCTCTGCCAATGTAGTAAGCTCTTCTGTTTGTTGTCTCAATTCAGCAATTTCCTTTTCTAGTTCTTCACAGCGTATTCGATAGTCATCTTTGGCAGCTTCTAATCTGCAGAAAATAAGTAAAACAGAAAACAATTTCTCAGCTTGTGCCACAGTTACCTTTCCTCATCCTCTCTAACAACACATGAAACGGCCTTCTGGTGCAGTGAAGGAGAACAGCAGCCCAATGTGCTTCTTCAAAAACATAGAAGCATACTGACTTACTTGATGCTCCCAATTTGATATCAGTCTTTCTATGTGGAATATCACAAGGTAATGTAAATTCCCAGAAAGACAAATCCTGACTTTTTTCTGTCATAGTAATTTTTCACAATGGAAGCTCAAGCAGAAATTTCCAGCTTTTTTCATCTTGGGGCATACAGAGTTTGAACATGACAGCTGTTTGAACATAAAGCTGTTCAGCTGTTCCACTCCTACACACCTTCAACAATATTGACCTGGTTGTCGGATGTTCTAAATGCTGTAGAACTCTCACCAAGATGGCTTTATTTATTTACTTACTTATAAAGAACCTGTGCCTGCTTAGTAGCTCTGATGAACCAAGTCGTATATTTAGTTATCTAGCTAGCACGTAAAGAACTCAGACCAAAGTTTCTGGCATGAACTACTCACATACAGCACACACAGGCAAAGCTGCATTAAACAGGCAGTGAACAAAGGGAGTAACTAAGAAAATTTGTCAAAGCATTTTGAACGAATGGAAGAGGACACAACCTGGAACACGAAGTCCTGTGGTGATTTTGATCTGAAATTAAAATAAAAACAATCCAGAAAAGGAGATATGTGCATGGGGAAAAAAAGTATTCTAACCATTAATTCCAGGACTCCAAAAAGAATCTACAAGAATGGAAAGAAGAGAGAGTCAGTAAGTCATCTGAACCATATATAACAAAGATTTGGATCGTGATAGACTGGAACTGTCAAAGGACATAAAGAGTCAAGACTGGGAGAAAAACTGTTGTACCACACTGGGCATCAGTTATGCTGTACATATGTCCTGTTTGGCCAGGTAGAGCTGCGGAAGAAACACACAAATTGCCGTTAGAAACCACATGCTATGAAGGCAGAGTAGAGAGGTAAAGGAGGTTGGGAGATGAGTCTCACATGTGAAAAGGGTTTAGAAAGACCTTCAGAACCTGAAACTAGAGTAACAGGCAGTGCAGGGAGAAAACAAACAACAGTAGATTCAGGTAGGAATCATTCCAGAACATGGAGATGAATAAGGAGAGATAAAAGAGGACATTAGAGAGACATTACTACATTATTCCTTTGCATGGTAGATGTATAGAAAGAAGAAAACCAGGCACTAGCTGCTATGAAAGAGAAACACTGAACATTTTTCAAGAAACTGAAGGGAGAGAGTGTGTCTGAATATGCAGGGAAGAGGCAAAATGGGAAAACAGGCAAAAAGGAAAGTTATGTGGCAGCTGACATAAGATTTAGAAAAGGACAGCCAGAAGAGGAAAGAAAAGGAAGAAAAACTGTCAGTGTAAAGAAATACCAGTTTCACTGACAATAGATAGGAAAAGTACATTAACAAGAATGAAAAGATGATGGTGAAGTGGACCAGCTTTCTTCAGCAGAATAGGCTTACACACCCTGAGAGCAACAGTCAAAAGGGCCAGGAAGGATATCTGAAAAGGAACCATATTTCCACATGTTGAGTAACTGCAAATAAAGACCAGAGTTCACTTGTGGATAATCTCCATCTTTCAGTTATGAAACAACTTGTCTTCAAACTCAGAGGACATACTTTGCTGTATAATAATACCACCTGTAGTACTGACCATAGCAAACTTTCAGCTAGGAATTCCTACACCTTAAATCAGAATAATTTACACAGAACGATGTACTTTTCAGTCCCCGATTTTTAAAAACATGGATTAAATGATTGCACACAAACAATTAAAAATAACTTCACAGAGTGTGACCTGTACACAGCATTTCAGCATTGAGAAATTGTGCATTTTTGTATGCTGGAGCTTGTAGAGAGGTAAATCATAACATGTACATCACTGTAAAAATTTTACTACTGTGCTTATACCACTAATTTGTAATTGCCAGCAGAAACAGAAGTATTTAAGTCATGTCTGTTACCAGGTATAAACAAAAAACCCAACCAAGTGTAGCTTTTCTACCTGAATGTTTCCTCTTGGAGCTGTTCTAGTTGGGTCTGCAGCTGCAAGTGCCTACGACCTGCAGGGCTGTTGGGATCTTCAATAGAATCAGATTGATTTAAACGTTCCATCAAAATCTGGTTCTCAGCGAGCAAGCTGCTCTTTTCCTCCTGGAGGGCTGCAACCTGTTGTAATAAAAGCATAAACTGGAATTACTGAGCTATCCCGCTACAGAAAGCATTTTTTTTTTTCATGTGCACAATAAATAATCAACGCCACCCACAAACGGAAACACACAGGCTTCAATAATCACACTTCGTAAGAATATACTGTAACATTAATAGGTATTCAATTGCTACGTGATGTAACCAACATATTGCAACATTAGGGGCAGATTTACCACACAGAAAACGTAACTATTCTTCACTGTATTTCACACAAGCATCTAAAGAAAAAGCCTGAGTTATTGCAGAAGACAACTTCATCATAACAAAGTCTGCATACTTTCCCAAGAAACTAATAAAAGCTTTACTGTGGAGGGCTAGTTTTAAAACTGATTTCCAAAAGAAACAATGCCTATCAATTGCACAGAATATCCAAGTCTGGACATCCAAGGGATAACTATGCCCTTCCTAGATTTTTTTTTTTTAAATCCAGTGGCCAATTACAAGCAGACCTGAAACAAGAACACAGTCCCAAAGATGACTCAGTTTCCGCCAATGTTGTGCAAAACAGGCAGTAGTGCAAAGAACCCAAAGTGCTGCAACTCAAGCAACAGCTGAAGCATGGGTTCATATGTTACTAAACAGCATAGCATTAACATGCAGGAAGAGAGAAAAAGAGGGAATGTGAACATCTCAACAGAAGGAAATGCTCCAGTAAGAGCTTGAATCATCAAATACACTAAAATCAACCACGACACACAAATAAGCTTCATTAATTGTAACAGTTACTGAACTGCTTGGCAAATCCTGAATTATCCTCCAAAGTAGGGGTGCAATGGCAATGCCTTTCAGGGCTCCCACTTTACACCCCTCACGTCTTCTGGATGAGTTATGCTTTATTTACAGTAAGGCTTAGTCTAAATCCATACAGGGCTATTAGACTACAGCAACTTCTGACTGTGATTTAAATCTTAACTGTTAACAGCAGCATAACCTCTATCAGCTCTCTACAGCTGAACCACACAGCTCAGTGCCTTCCCACCTGAATGAAGTTTTGTTAGTATGAATCACCTTAATACTGGCAACATTGCAACAAGGTAAGAAAACAATGAAATACACTCTGATAGCACAAGTAAAGCAAAATAATTACTGTGCAATTTTAATCTCCCTTTTAAAAATTATGTTTCCACACTATACTACTTGTTTTCAGCTACTTAAAAATTAGCACATCTCTTTCCCACTTCAAAATTAATATGTACAATATAGCAAACCTACCTGCATGTCTAATTCATGACATCTCTGGGCAATTTCTTCTTTTGTTGCTAGTGCTTCATTTAATTCTTCTGTAGTTTTCTTCAGCTACCATAAACAACAAACATTTATAGTTTCATCACTCTCTGTAAAGTGTCTAAAAATATCCTGAACTACATCACTGTAAAATTACTACATTTAGGTAATACATTAAATTTTTGGAAAACTGAGGCAATTCCGCTCTTATAAAGAAACAAAGAGGCAGACGTGATTACTGTTTAGTTTGTGTGACAGTAAAAAGTAAACATACCTAAAAGTAAAATTTGGTCTTATAAAAATGCATTAGATTTAGCACATCTATTCTGTGAATTGGGTCAAAAAACCCTGAACAACTTGGGTCTGAAGAACTCATCAACTCTGTACACTGAAAAAATTGTCAATACCACTTTTCTTTACGGATGCAAAGAGTGCATAATTTTGGTTTTCAATCTACTTTTCAAATACAGAAAGGACTCAAGGTGGAATACAGGGAATGGACAATTAGGGTAAAATCTTTCTAGGCACTGGAAGCTACTCTTGCTGCACAACAGGAATACAACTAATATGGTGAGGGAGAAGCCTACGCTTCTGAAAAAGGGCACTGAATCTTGTAAGCAGTGGGAAATACTCCGATACTTCCCTTCAAAGGCTTATTGTTCAAAGATGTATGTATGTATCTTACAAAACATGTGTATGTATCTTGCAAGTCTGCATATGAATGCAGCTAAAATAACATAAACATAGCTACAAGAAAACTGGCCTGCTAAATTAGGTGCGTGCATATTATGTATATAGAGATACAGATATGTATTATTATATATGATTAATTTCAGATGGGCTTTCTCAAACACCATCCTCATGTCTTATTTTTTCAAGTTTATTTCTCAAGGGCCTGTTGACATATCAAAATTAATCCCATCTGCCAGAATTTACATGCTTCTGCAGAGAAAGCACTGTGGAGGAATACAGGGAACACCACTGTACTATACTTCTCAATTAGAAAAAAACTGAGAAAGCGGGACAGTGTTAGCGTGACACTGAGCTGGTAAAAAACAATTGGTTTTGCATACTCTTTAAATATATCAGACAGGGAATGATTCTCTTTGAAAACTTCTCTTACATATTGTAACAGTACCCAGGACTGCTTTAAGGATTTTTGAGCCACATCTATGGGGTTTTTTTAAACTGACTTTGGAAGTTGGAACTGGCAAAAAAAGTTTTTATTTAAATACTACACATTTTTTTATCCTTCTTTCTCAATACTCAAAGATTTGCACAGGTGTGCTGTTTTATTAGGCTATGTCATACAGCTAAACATGTTTTCCAAATTGAGTTTTTCTTCTTCTTTAAATACACAAAATAGATAAACTCAATGTATACAGCAAAAGGACTTGAAATACTTAAATTTAGTTTTCCGCTCCTTATTTGAATTTCCAACAAAAAACTTTCACAACTGAAGGAAAAAAAAAAAAAAAGACAGACTTCTTAACAAAACAATATGACTGGCCACCCATGTGCTATGTTTGCAGGAAAAGAAACATCTAGTCTTAGATACCTGACGATCAAGGTCAACGTAAGCATCATTTCCAACAGAGACTGGAGACTCTTTACTCATCAACTGCAATTAGATTACACTGGATTAGAAAAAGCAAAGAATAACTTCTATATTAAAAGCTAAGCTTCAATGAAACACCAAGCCAATTTTAATTTTTGGGAGCTTCAACCTGACTTAATTTGTAAGTTTTTAACTTCATTTTTACACAAGACATATTCAGAAACAATTACAGAAAGAAATCTTCAGAATTTATAATATTTAAAGCACTATAAAAGAAACCTTACATCATCTCTCTTTCTTCTGAAGATGCACATTCTTTATCTATGACGAAACCTGCAGTACACTCCGATAAGCATTTTACTGAAGTGGCATTGGAATGATGGCAGCCATCAACACACCATGCAAGACCTGCCTTTAATTGTTCTCTGCCAGTGGTTTTCATTTTTTGATCACCCAGAAGTTCACATTAATTTATTTATTTATTTAACTAAAGTTGGGGACATATCTATCTCAGCTAATTGTGCAAAACAAAGATGATCAAAATTCCTGCTCTGGAGTTGTCTGTAATTTGCAAAATTTCAAAAAAGTCTACAGACAGTATTCCTGAAATGAGTATTACAATTCCTTGTATACTAAATTATTTTATTGCAGGAATAGCTAGTAGTGGTTTTAGTCTAGAAAATAATACTTTTAGCCATGACCTTAAAAAAAAAAGCGCAAGCCCTCCAAATTGACTCATGTGCTACTGAAAGATAAAAAGCTGCTAAGAAAGTAAGTTTTCTTCCAGTAACCCACTGATGAGCTACACAGAAAGTTAAAAGTTAAATCAAGCATAACAGAAGTTGTAGCCTAAAGAGCTCCTCCCACCCACCTCCAGCAATCATGTTAAGGTAAAGTTACTACTGGAAGTTGTAAGACACAAAAGGAACAGTCCTCCAAATAACAGCTATGCTGTAACTAACTCTAAAGGCAGCATTACAGAATCACACCGATGGTTTCTGTCAGCCTGTCCAAACACAAAATGTTTTCTGAGCTCTTCAGTGACAAGAATCATAGAAGTTACAATCAAAAAGGCCCTATCACAAGCAAAATCAGGACAAGATTTCTTTCCTAAGGCCTCCTGTCCAGCCTGGTTACTCTCTCCAGAGATAGGGCTTCCTTTTTTCCTTCCAGAAATCAGTGCTTTTGCATTACTTTTCATTGGCAAGTTCCTCAGATAGACAGCACAAGAGCTTTCATTTCTTCTCCATTCTTTCTGTTTATACCACTGTGTATAAGAAAAAAAATCTGTTTGACATTTAACATCATTCAAATATTTATACACTTATGTTTCTCTTCCTCTCCCTATCTCCTTAATTGGGATTTAGCTGTGTACCACATGCTTAAATTCATCTATCTGTCCTCAAAAGTTCTCCTCAGGCCGTGATGATGTTTGTTGCTAACTGCTGAATTCCTTCCATTTTGTCTACATCTTTACAATGACAAACTACTCCAAGATGAACCTTTCCATGAAGCCCAGATTCTCTGTAATAGTAATTAGAAAGTCCCTAGCCTCAGAGCTGCCTCCTGAAAAATGAAGTCACATGTCTTTTTCGTTACTACATACAGTGGGTTTACAGACTTGTATTTAATTTAGGGCCACGTTTCCTAAGCCAATTATCATTTTGCCATCCCAAAACAAGAATTTCCAGTCCCTCTCTGCTCTGTGATATTTATACATGTTTCAATTACTCCATTTCACTAGCTACTGTTTAAATGTTTTTCCAGATGACTAACAGGGATATCCACATCAACCAAATACTGAACTTTTCTCCCTATGTCCCACAACACTGTTCACAAACACACCTCAGACACTAAGTTCCACCTGTTAAGCCAGTACTTTCTGGTGGGCAGGTCCCAGGCTGCGTGCAGCCTGTAAGGGTGTACAACAGTATGTCCATGACAGCCACCACCCCTCTCTGGCTCCAGCACAGCTTCCTCTTCAGAAACCCAGCTTGATAGGCCTGCCCAAGACTTACTGTAGGAGGAATACAAGAGGCTGCACAACCCACTAGAGGCCACTGTGGTGTTGCTGCTTTATGTGGACTATCATAAAAGCAGGCTGAGGCCAGTAACATAATCCCTTTATTCCTCAATGGGTTTTGCCATGTCTCCCAGAACTTCCTATCCTTAAGAACCCTTAGCAGAAATGTCCAGAGAAGAGGACATTAGCTGGAGGAGGATTAGGCAGTGGAAATCTGTGGGTGTAGCATTAATGTTACACAGAATTTGTGCATTTAACTCCATGGGGTGCATCAGCAATGTCATGGGAAGCGTGCATGAGGCACTGAGGGCAAGAGCCAGAGACACATGTGCAGAGATGACCAACTTAATGCAACAAGAAACATCCTGCAATCTTATGGCCTGTGATATGGTAGGGATGCTAGGGATTGTACTGTGCCCAGTAGCACGACCAGACAAGGAACAGGAACGAGACTGCCAGATAACTCACAAGTAATACAGGAATACAACCTCTGATCATCAGGTAAAAAAATAAACTGAAGTCAAGTGGGGCGAAAAGGGAGAGTTATCAGGGTGAAGGAGAGCCTCCATCTTCTCCCTAAACATTTCCACCCACAGTGGAGAGGACAGTGGTATATGTAAGCAAATGTCTTAACTGTGCTCTGCTTCTGGATTGTCTCTACCCAGTCTCTCTCTGCTTAACAGCGAACACTTTATCGTAAACAGCACAGCTAGCAGGGTACAAACTCCAACCACCTATCCAAACTTCTCTCTTTAGTAAGATTCACTGAAAAATTCAAGGAAAGTTTTACTGAATGCTGTATTTTAGGATTCCATGCAGATATGTATGTCAACTCAAAACACACATACTACGCCTTCCATCCACCTAAAAAACATACGGTAACAGGCTTGCCTAGTTTTCCCCTAATCTTCACTTTGTTTCTTCTCAACTGGCATTCTCGGACACTACTGAAGTTCAGAGCTCAAAAATGCTCATTTCATCAGCTACCTGCTTGATGGCATATTAGCTCTTTCTGCATTATTTATTACTAATCTGATGATACTAGTTGATTACTATGAATTTTTAAAGCGGATTTCCTTACTGTGTTCTACCATATATCTCCCTTACTTACAAGCTCACAAACTCCTGAAATAACTGCTGTAGTTTCAGTGCTTTGCATGCAACCTACAAGTGTGATATTAGAACATGTGGTCTTGAGACGTATGGGTCAGAGCCAATACTTTTGAGTTTAGAGTGGCAAACTTAATTTCATTTGTATTTCAATTGGCTGACTCAAGAGAATAAAAAGCAGAAGGAAGTGGCTTTCTCATTCTCCCTCCACAGCTGCAAGTTTTCTTTTCTTCAGGAGCAAACTACAGGTGGGCATAAAGGTCTACCTTCACAGTTTTGCAGCTCTGGAACTCACTTTCAGCTCCAAACTCACAAGTTAGCTTAAGTATAGTATTATCATCTATTTTCACATGTACCTTTAACGGATGATGATGTGCAGAGATTTTACAAGTGCACCAATCATAGAAAGGGAAATCAGAAAAATGCCTGCAAAATCAAGCAATTCCATTAGACCTCGACAGTAGAAGGAAAAGTCTGCTTAAGAGCTTCCCACAGTAAAAAAGCAAGCAATTAGCATTTACTTCCTTGCTCTTTTTCCGGTTTATTTTGCATATTTAGAATGAAGATTTGAAGTAGCACAAGTATTTGTTCAAATAATCAAAATGTCATTTAATATCAAAAGAGATAGGTCAGTCTGGATATTAAATGGTACAATAACCTGGACAACATGACAATTTTTATAATTCTTTGTCTAGGTGTATGAGAAGCAGTTGTCGTTCCCTGTTAATCCTTTACATCTATACATTTTTATGCTCATAGCTTTGGTACGACATCTTACAAAATACTTGTAGATCTGCTAATTTTGTATTATTAAAACCTTCACTTTTTAACTGCTTTGCTTGTGAACAAGCTCTGTTGTCATGGATACATTAGGGAAGGGGTAAAACTATCACAAAATCTGCATGCATGAATAACCTGAATTATGAATGCTTTCCCCCACACACACATGATTTGCATGATTTTGCAAATGCAGCTGCACCACTTAGTTGATGATGTTAAAAGTTCAAAACATTTGCTTTATTGAAATGCTTCTTCCACAGTTGCTAATATTGTACAAGCTCATTTAAGTGCTCATGAAACAATGTCAAAATCCAGCTTCTGTATTCAAAAGGTTTTCTTTTTTTAAAACGTCTTTTTTTTTGTTGGCTTTTTAAGAGTCAAGGCTATGTACAACACAGTGTGTATCCTTTAATGCAGCTGGACTTTCTTCTTCCTCCAGTACTGCTGACAGATGCAAGGAAATATTTTTCCATCATTTCCTAGCTATTGAAAAGCCACTTTTACTTTAGACAGGATGAACCTTTAAACAGTCAGGACAAAATACAGGGAGGGGGGAAAAAACAGAAAACCAAGCAGTTTCTATTTTGCGGAAGGTAACACAGCTGGTATTAATCCAGACAGGAAGTACCTTTTGCTATGCACCCCAGGCAAGTTTTGACACTACCTCTAGGACTTCGCTGTTAAGAGCCTATTCTGACTCTCAGTGTGACCTGCACAAACACGTGCTAAGTGATCAAGTTTAGAGACGTTTGCAAAGGCAAACAATTTCCCCAGCTACCACTTTCATTAATAATGAACTTGGCTGCTCAGAGAAAAGACTTGAGAAAACAACAGAAGAATTTCCAAAGGATGTCAAGGAAAGGAAAGAGAAATACACAATTGCCAAAGTAATTTCTTCAAGGAAAGTTTTTTTGCCTTTAAAAAAAATCTGCAAATTTAAAATATATTATACATAGCAATATATTAATTGCAAGTAATAATACATTATAATAATATAAACAGGATATAGGAGTATATATTACAGAATATACAATACAGAATTTATAGTTATGTTATATTTTTTGCAATATTTTTGATAGCTATACCATTCTTGCTCTTCCTCTATCTTGTGCACAGCTTGCATTTAGAAATGTCCATCTGCAGATTGGAACCTAAGAATCTAGGTGGTGGCAACACACCAGATAAATTTGACTGCATTGAAAAAATAATAGAAAAACCTTGTTCAATTTATAAAAACTTTATGGACCACAAGGCAAATGTTATTAATAATATTTTAGTTTAAACATTTAAATAAGTGAAGAAAGGAAATGCTGAAGAGTCACAAATTATTAAAAAAATTGAAATAACCAAATAATATTTAAAACATAAAATGCTCCTTCTTCCATTTTTAAATCAGCTTCTTCATGCAAAAAAACCAGAGAAAACAGGGTAGAAGCTTGTTCTACTGTGCCTCATGAAATACTTTCATGAGTCAGATCATTTATGAAAAACAAAGAAGTATCAAAAAGCATTTATATGTGCTTTGCTGAAACAGGAAAATGAATTATGTAATACATCAGTAAAGCTGAGAGGTCTTTTTACATACCTAATTTTGAAGAAAGAATACCCACATGTCAAATGCTTTGAAATGTTTGGATTAGGTGGCATACCAACTTTTCAAATATGCATATATAGCTACTTTCCTAGGGACTTTATTTTGGTGGCTCCTACATATTGCTTAGCCCAAGTCACTTGGATTCTGAGAGCTGTTCTGAGTCAAAGAAATAGAAAAGCCTCCCTAAATCCCGTGATGTTTCACTCCTGCAAAGACACAGACTGCAGGTGCAGCTCCAAAAAGACTCTCTGGACCTAAACTCTTGTTACAATCATAGAATATCTCAAGTTGGAAGGATCATAGAGTCCAATTCCCTGCTCTTTGCAGGACTACCTAAAACTAAACCATATGACTAAAAACATCATCCAGATGCTCCCTGTACTCCGACAGGCTTGGTGCCTGTGACCACTGCCCTAGGGAACCTGTTCTCGTGACCAACCACCCTCTCAGTGAAGAACCTTTTCCTAATACCCAGTCTGAACTTTCCCTCATGCAGCTTCATTCCATTTCCTTGTGTCCTGTCGCTGGTCACCAGAGAGAGACCAGTACCTCCACCCTCCACTGCCTCCCTTGAGGAAATTGTACACTGCAGTGAGGTCACCCCTCAGCCTTCTCTTCTCCAAGCTGAACAAACCAAGTGACTTCAGCCACTTCATGTAAGTCTTGCCCTCAAAACCTTTCATCATCTTGGCTGGTCTCCTCCAGAAATACACTAATAGTTTGGTGACCTTACACTGAGGCATACAAAACTCCACACAGTACTCGAGGTAGGGCCACACCAGTGCAGTGCAGAGTGGGACAAGCACCTCCCTTGACCAGCTAGCTATGCTTGATGCCCCCCAGGATGCAGTTGGCCCTTCTAGCTCCCAGGACATGCTGCTGACTTGTATTCAACTTGCCATAAACCCAACCCCACAGATCTCTTTTGGCAGGGCTGCTGCCCAGCCTCTCATCCTCCAGTTTGTATGTATAATCAGGATTACCCCGTCCCAGGTGGAGAATCGGGCACTTGCTTTTGTTCAGCTTCACATCGTTGGTGATTGCCCAGCTCTTCAGTCTACCCAGATCTCTCTGTAAGGCCACTCTACCCTCAAGGGAGTCCACAGCTCCTTCCTTAATGCAATTCCATCAGCAACCTTCCTTAATGTACATTTGATGCCTGTGTCCAGACCATTTATAAAAACATTAAAGAGCACTGGCCCTAAAATGACCCCTGGAGAACCCCACTAGTGACTGGCCACCAGCCTGATGTAACCCGATTTACTGTAACACTTTGAGCCCAACTTGTCAACCAATTGCTCACACAAAGCATTACGGACTTGTCTAGCTGTATGCTGGACATTTGTCCAGAAGCATACTGTGAGAGACAGTATCAAAAGCTTTGCTAAAATCCAAAACCCACATATCTACTGGCTTCCCTTGGTCAACTAGGTGGGTGACCTTGTCATAAAAGGAAATTAAGCAGGATTTTCCCTTCATGATCCTCCTAATTTGGTTCTGAATGCCTTGGATTTCTAAGTAGCTTGGAAGGTAGCATTAAAATCACTCAGAAATGCACCAGTACCTGAATAGTAAGCTTTTTGATTCACCGAGTTTCAAAAATCTGTTCCAGAAGAACAGCCCCTCATCCTGCGATTTCCCCCCATTTCTACTCCCCACCTCTGAGAAAGGGCACAAACACTAAACAAGTTCAATGCCTACTCATCATATGCCGAAAATTGTGGGCTGCTTTCAGATCTGGCTATTTTATCAAACAAAGGAGATTTTTACAAAAATCAAACAGAAGGTTTTCAACAGAAGGAAGGAGGATAAGAGGTTTTCTATTTTAAGACAGCCAGGAATAAAGTCATGCTGAAAGTTGGGCTTAATGAAACAGGACATTAGAAAAACCCACCAAAACACTGTATTACAGTTAAGAAGAATGCAAAAGTAAAATATCCCAAGACTCAGGCAAACTGGTGCTTGGCAGCACTGACTGGAAGATGATTTAGCATAAGGATTCTTTCAATGTTCATTTCAAAAGCCCTCTCTGCAATGTTATAGATAGCGGTCCATACACACACAACAGGATGTGCAACTGCATGGATACACCAGTGGTCAGAGTGATAACAGGGGATGGGGTCCCTGTAGGCTCACTGACTTCTCTTTCTCTACTCAGACATTACAGAAAAGTGAAATTGCTCTAGAGCTCAACGTGGAATTTAGTTTCTCTTGTTCAGGTTGAGAAGAAATGGGATTACCAGCGATTTTCTGCTTTCCTTAGTGCCCTGCCCTGTGGTAAACCTCCATCTATGAAGACTGATAGGCACTTCACTTACAGGCACTTTGGGCTCCTAAGAAGTCACATGGGGGTTTCATGGCTATCATGGTCACTAACATTGTGATTTAATTTTCACTGTGGTTTTAATTTACTACTGAACAGCACTTTTACAAAATACACTGCAGTATATCTATACCTTGTAAAAACATTAGCACAAACACCTTCATTAGCCTATTCATAACTCTACAGCTGACAAAAGAATACTCTGCTATCCATTTCTCTTTCTTTTCAGTTGTCCAGTAAAAAAAAAAAAAAAAAATAGCAGTTTGTGGAGTTTTGCAACTTCAAGGTACAAATTTTGAAGAATTTCTATAGTATTTGGTTACTCAGATAAAAGCAGTCTATGCAATTCAGGAGCCACAGGGTGGGAAAGGTAAAGGGAAGGGAACCCAGTATCAAAAACATCTAGAAGTTTCAATCTTCTAGATTTAAAGAAAAGTGGGACATTCAACCAGAGTTCCTTGACATAAAGCAAGCTTTACTGATTTGTTTTTCTAAGGAAAAAATAAGATATTTTTCAATGTAAAATGGCAAAATCTATGCCCCTTATTTTCTTTACTTCCAACTAAGTTTTTCCAAAGTGGGAAAAAACATATTTCTGTAAAATACTGAAAGGCTGTACTTTTACACACTGTGGGCATCCCAGCATACCTCCTGAATGGCTGTCATGACAACATGTTGAACCGATTCTTCCATCATCATTATGGTCTGGATGTACTCTGAAAATAAGAGCATTCCGAAACGTTACAAGTCACACAGAACATGAGGTCAGAAGCTGCATCCTTCCTACAAAATGACTAGGTGTCACAGATGGCGCTGAAATGCAAAATCACCAATCAAGCCTCACCCTACCAAACTAAACAAGACTTTATCAGAAGTCTGTTCAGTCATAAATCCAGGCTCATTGGAACTCTGCAACAATGAAAAAAGTACGTGCTTGTCATCCATTTCTTTCCTTCTGGCACCTCACACTTCCAAAATAACTACTTATACTCCTTTTCTCACTTTGTTCCCAAACTATTCAGGCTATACAAGTACATGATCCACACACAGGTTGTCCTTTTCTGTAAGTTGAACAATAACGTCCTGCCTTCCTACAGCATCCTCATTTCAAGGCATTTTCATATACATTCTTGGTTTCTGTTCTTATTTCTGTGCTGTATCACAAATAAGTCCCCTCTACTTTTTCACTCATTACCTCTGTGTAGATGTGAGCTACACAACAGGTACCTCGTGAGACAACAGGGTGGCTAGAAGGACAAATTCTGACATTTAGACCAAGTTAAGGAGTTTATGACTTGCCCGGTATCATATAGTTTCCAGTGAGATATGATCAGCTTTATATGTGACCTGTATTCTTTTAATGCTTTGCCCAAGATGCTGGTAATCAGTCACCTCAAAGTGATTATTTAGGTATGCCAAGTCTCACTCAAAGACTAGACTGTTCTGATATTTCAGACACGTACATTTTTAATGTCTAGACTAAAAGAGTAAAAGAAATACAGGAGTAAGATATACTTCCCACCTGAGGATGCCAGTGACCAAAAAAATAAGATAATTATACATAAAATAGAGAGGACAGGAGGCCTAATAAAAGAGAGTTATTTATGTACTCATGGAGGAAAATTACCTCTATTTTAACCAATTAGGATAGCAAGACTGTCTCCTGATTAAGGGAAGAATAAAAGTAATTTCAGAAGTAGAAATTAAAGTGATTTAGACATATGAGAAACTGGAAAGGGGAAACTAGCTATAAAAGTTAAGATGCACCATGGAAGAGAAAGAAAATGTCTGAAACCCCAGCTGCCATTTTGTCAGAAAGGAGACCAAAATGAGTTAAAACAGGAAGAGACAGGTATTTGATGTGACTTTAATGTAAATACAGTAAACATAGCTTTATTTACCCACATATGTATATTATAAACATATTCCTATGCTTCCTGTTTTAAGCATTAAGAATAAATGTTGTTGCTTTGTTACCTTAATCTGGCTTGAATTAAGTGTAATTTAAGGTAACTGGGTAACAATAAGACACTCTGCACACAAGGCAAGTTTAGAGCGTAAGACCTGGGACACTTCAACAAGCATCTCTGTTGTTCATCACATCCTCTGGGGCATCTGCAGGAAAAACGAATGGGTCCCTATTTTACCTGTGCAGGTCAGACAGACATCTGGTGCCAGGGGAGTCAATAGAGGCAGAAGTCTCTTTCAGTGACTGCTGAAGTGGGATTCAATTGCCTAACAGATGCCTCGTGATATTTTGGGTGCCCTTAAGGTATTATGCTCAGTCTTCAGCTGCTGCCCAGAAGGGCATGGTTGCCAACATTACTTTTTCCTACTTGGCAACCTCATGCAAAAGTCTCAGAAACTACAGTATCCCAGATCACATCAGACATATCTTCAGACCAACACCCAGTCATACTGATGGCTCTCGGCCATGTAGCAAGATGCTGACTGGAATACATTCCTAAAACCAAGAGTCACACAGAACAGTGCAACAATCACATTTTTTGATTTTTAACTATCCTGATCTACCTCATAAATGGTTAAAGGGTGGGCCCAAGAATTTTTCTTTGCAGAGTGCCTTTTCAGCTCAGCAAACAAAAACTCAAAATATGTATGCTGGAAACAAAACCAGTTCCACAGTTTGAGACTCCAAAACTAGTGAAGCTTATAACAAAACAACTGTTATTATCTGTAGGATAAAATAACATTAACACTGGAAAAAAAAAACAAAACCATTTGTCTCTTACAGCAACCTGAGAAATATAATTTTTCCCCTAGGTAGTTGCACAACGAGCTGGATATTCATTCACTGCCTAGGAGAAAACATGCTTTCAAAAGTTAATACCTTGCTTTTGTTCACAATTCACAGCACATCCCAAAATCAGCTGAAGCATTCTTCCAAGCTCCGCAGCATCAGCATGCTCTCCGATCAGGTTAACATCAGGAAGGGTGAAGTCATTAATCTGTTGCCCTAGAATCTGCATAAAGACCCAGTACATACATGTCTGTATCACTACACATATACATACACACACATTTCAAAATATGATGATCAAGAGCAATTCACCCGTACTTTAACATAGTTTTCAATCCACCTGTAAAACAAACTGAATTGCCTAACACCTAACATCCGAATACTAAACCATACTGCTTGACACAACTAAGATGTGGGAGAAGACAAACATGCTTTCTCAACTAATAAGAAACTATTAGTTTCAAACTTAGCAAGATTTTTTTCTTCAGATAAGAAAGGTAACGAAGGCAGGCTTCCACGGTGATCAACAGCACACAGATAATTAAATTTATTTTAAAGCATTCCATTAAAAAAATGAACACCTAAAACCACCTTATGTAGCATAAAATATTATACATAAATCTCACATTTCTTACCACTTGAAAGCCGGAAATTGAAATATTTCACGTATACAATATGTATGTCTAGCACTGATGCATGACAAATACAAGACTAAAAAAACTCTACCACTTGGCCTCACACTTTTAGAAAATTCAAGGATATTTAGCAAGTCTCAGAGCTAAGAAAGCTAGTTCCATGGAAGGGAATTTGAGGTATTAACACAATATATAATTAAACAGCCCACATGCAGAAAGAAAAAAAAAAAACCAAAACAAAAAACCCATGTGACTTACAATGAATGTAATCTGATTTATAATTAAGAAGGATTTACATTAATGATTGTCAGTAGAAGGAATTAAACAATTCTGCTAAATTGTTCACAAAAAGCTTTCAGGGGGCTGAAAATATGAATATGAAATATGGAATTAAACACATCTCTGACACATTAATTGCAGATAAAAAGAAACTGTCACTTCTTAAGCAGGGTGCAATAAAGAAACAATGACTATGGAGGGAATCAGTCATTTGTTTGCTGGGTGCCCTTTTTTGTGTTAGTACTCAAGGAAAACAAAAATCAGATAAAGGTATTTGTAAAAAAACATTTAAGAGATGCATATGAAGAATACACAGAAATCAAGCTGTTTGAAAGTTTTCCAGGGTTGGGCTTTATGAAATTGTTGTGGTTGAGTTTGTACTTGTTTTGTACGGTGGTTTTTGTATTGTGGCGGGTTTTTTTTTTTTTTTTTTTTTTTACATTTTTTTAACAGCTTTCTCAAAGAATGGGTACCAACAGTACTAAAAATCTCTGTATACTCTAAATGCTAGATTTATTCTTGTTGGAAAAGACTTCTTTTAGGTCATCCTAGTGAGAAAATAAGAATTCTGTGAATGGATCAAGCACAATGGAAAACATTACCATTGTATATAGACTGCAATCACACAGTAAAACACAATATTCTTTTAATTATACAAATCTGATACATGCTTATATATTGATCTGTAGTTCCTGAAAGTCTTTCAAATGTATTGCTGGATTTAAGTTAATAATACTACAATGGCTTCATAGTTAATGATAGTAAGATCACATGTACTGATCTATCTTATATCTATGATTATATCTACTTCACAGATACTGATAATTGCTGTTGAAAGCTGAAGGGAAGAGGCATATCAGCAGGCACTATCAAGAAGACAAGGATGTGAAGTTGTAAATAGAGGATTGAAATAAACATGATATAATTTTAATTCAACAAATAAATTGCAAGAAACACGAAAATGAAAGATAAACTCTGCAATAAATATCTTGAGATGAAAAAGAACATTTCCCCCTTTTTAAAAAAAATAAATATAAAAGACCTTTACAAAAAAAAAAAAAGTTTTTAATTCCAGAGCAGCAGTTTCACGGCAAGATTACTGGGGCATAACAAAGCATGCAAGATATAAATAGGTAACTTTGCCTTCTTGTTTTTCCATACTATAATTGACAAAGACAGCAATGTAAGACAGCTATTGAAAGACTGTCCTCCTGAATGCGATACAAATTTTTCAATTTTTGAAGATGGAACAAAATTAGCATATACACTTTTCAAAGGCTTTTAGCTACATCACGTAAATTGTATATATATTCACATCTATATTTTTGCAGAAGGTGACCGCTAGGAGAGGGAATCAGTTTGAGAATACATAACCAGGATCCATAGTAGAATCCAGATCTTGTTTATTATTAAATCCATTATTACTTGTCTCAGCAGAAAAAAAAAAATCAAACCAAAATCCAGTCAAATTTATAAATGTGCATTACCTTTGCAGAACTTAATCAGCTTGAAACAGCTCAAAACTTGCTTAGTAATAAAGTTTTTACACCAGAAACTTAATCGTTGTACATACCAATTAGCCAAAAAAAGCTGGCATCACTTTGTCATAGAAGTACTGATTTTCTCTAACAAAAAATGTACTTGCTTCTTTCTAGAGTTGTCAGTTGTGACCGCCTTCCTTAAACATCAATTTTCTAAATTTATGTCAACATGGATACCTGACCATTTACTGAATATGAGCTTATGAGTCTGACTTTTTACTTTTGAAAATCTGTTCACTTTTAAAGACTTAAGTTTATTAACAAGTACCTTCCTCTATAAAGTATTTATGAGAAGCTAATATTTTGAGACAAGCAATGTCCAGAACATACATATGGGTTTTGTGTTGCAGCCTGTACAGATCAATTTGCCTCAAAACACCTCTTGAAACTAAAAGCATATTCTAGCTGAAGATTCACCACTGAAAAAAATACTGTACTGTATCTCCTCTGGAGTAGTTCATCAACAGTCTAAGAGAGAACACCAAGGGCAGACTCCAATATACCAGGATTAAAACATTTCATTGAAAATTTTCATGTAGGTAGGGGCTAAAAATGCTCCTTACTCTCTGTCCTCAAGAAAAAAGGAAAGAAGAAGTCTCTAGCTGGAGCAGAGGAGAAAAAAAGAAAACAAAAAAAATCAAACACAGGTACTGTTAACGTCCCTTATCAGAACATAGTCAGCAAAGACATCTACTGTTTGTATGACAGAATTTACACATTGGACTCCTCTGGAAGCTCTGAGTATTCAGTAAAGCAGGTGAGCAGTTAGAGAAGGCTAACACCTGAGAATACGGCATGAAACACTCTGTATGCCAAATATTTTGCAAGAAAAAGTCAGAACTTAATCAGTAGAATATTCACATTAAACAGGTTACCTAAATATGTAACAAAAAAGGAATATAGACGTAGATTACTTAAAATGGTTCTTACCTCATGGTTGTAATCCAGGATTCCTTTTAAAATTTTCTTCAGGTTGCTTACCTATTTGACAAGAAGAAGAAGGAAATACAATACATACATGAAATAAATTACAGATAAATGATCATAAAGTAGACAATCACAGAAGAATCACACAAAAGAATCATAAAATTGCATCTATTTGCACGATGAGACCTTCAGTTTGAGCAGTTTAATTTAGAATCATGAAAGTTATGCAATCATCCCGCATGGTCAGATTTCCAGACCTGATCACAAATCTTTATTGATTGACAGAAGCCATTTAAATTTATGAAAAACATCACATTGTCATGGATAGGCTTTAGATCAGGCTCTAAAGCACAAATCTTTCTTGGAATACTTGTTTATCTTAGGATTAGTTTTGTATCCAGAAGTTGAAACATTATTTTCATCCTTTCTTCTCTTAAAGTATCCTGGTGATCTACCTTCTGCAGAGATAAACCTCTTCTTCCAAACCAAACCAGGTACTGCTCAATATTCTTTATTGCCAACCTATGTAAGCTTAATTTATTTACTGTCTCATTAGTTATTCCTCTTAGTTCTTTCATTTTTGTTCATCCCCCCCCCCCTCCAGTTCTTTACAATTGAATGTCTGTCTTACAGTATCCAAGGCAAAATTCACATTTCTCAGTGATGCCTTCATTGCCATACAAAGACAGTTTCTGTTCACTTGCATAACCAATGGCATCAGCTAAGTGTCTCCTGACGTATAGAATCCATGCCACACTTCTCTAGTACTGAGTACTGCTCCCTTTCCAAAAAAAATTCATTTACTTCAAGTCTCTGACATGAAGAGTGCACTTAAAAAATGCCCAATGGATCTCATAGGTGATAATTAGGAAAAAAAGAAATCTTTTCTGAAAGTAACTGCTACAGATTCCCACCAACTGGTGTTCAAGTATTTAAGCAAGGAATTTAGATAATAGTAGCAGTGCACTGCCTCCTGTGATGGATGAGCAGCTGAGGGAACTGGGGTTGTTCAGCCTACAGAAGAAGAGGCTGAGGGGAGATCTTATCGCCCTCTACAACTGCCTGACAGGGGGTTGTAGTGAGGTGGGTGTTGGTCTCTCTTCCCAAGTAACAAGCAATAGGAGGAGAGGAAGTGGCCTCAAGTTGTGCCAAGGGAGGTTTAGATTAGACGTTAGGAAAAATTCCTTCACCAAAAGGGTTGTCAAGCACTGGAACAGGCTGTCTAGGGAAATGGTTGAGTCCTCATCCCTAGTGGTATTTAAAAGACATGTAGACATGGTGTGTAGGGGCATGGTTTAGTGGTGGACTTGGCAATGTTAGGTTTACAGTTTGACTCAATGATCTTAAGGGTCTTTTCCAACCTAAATGATTGTATGATTCTGTGAAGTCTATAAACAGGTTCTGCAAAGATTGAACTCGTCTGAATTAGGATTCACAAAGTGCTGTTGCTGACAACAGTAGCCACAGTGGCAAACTGTGGAACTATGATGAAGGGAGACCGAAAAGTCTCAAATCCCAACTGTCTTTAAAGCCCACAGTAACTTCTATATTCTTGATTACATTCCAAAAACATCCAGCTAGGAGATTCTGTCCACTGACAGAAGTAATCTATCTTCTAAAAGATCTGAGGAAACATTACAGAACACAGTTAGGAAACATACTTAAATCCAGGGACAAACTCAATACTTCAATGCAGTCAACAGACAAAACAAGGTGATGAAAGCAAAAATCCAGCCTCTTTTCTAAGAGAAACTCAAGAAATGAACAGGCTACACACACACTAAAAGATTTAGCCATGATATCCAAAGTGATAATTATCTGATTATCTTATTGCTATTAATCTATTCCTTTTTGGAAACAAGTGGCAAAAGCTGACCACTTAATTAAGATATAAGAACGTCCTGATTGTCTTCATAATCACTGAACTTTAAGTCATACAAGAAAGAAAAATTCACTTGGACTTGAAAAGTGACACATCAAATATTCTGACAGCCTAGAATGAGAACTGGAGATGCTACATGGTAGCAAGTATGTAACAACATTTACCGTCCCTCCCATAACAGCATAATAATTAGTTTACTTTCAGGTTTACACCTTCTACTCCCAAACACATACTATTTCGGTAGTATTACACATAACTCATCATGTTTCTGTAAGAACTACAACTACCTTCTAGCTGTTTGCCCAGAATCAATTACCATAACTTCTCAAAGGCTATGCACAATCATAACCAAAGTCTGCAACATATTTAAGAATTTAAATAAATGTAAATAATTTTTTTTATGTCAAATCACCACAAAGAATACTGCACTGATTGGCATATAATTTTCAAACTTGATTCATTAAAATCTTCCAGTTTGTAATTTACCTGAGTCTGCTGCAGAAAGTGCCACAGAAACACAAAGGCCATGTTGCAGAACTTAAGTCCAGTTTACCGGTGAGAACATTGTGAGGAACCTTGAACTTGAACATAATCCCAAAAAATGAGAAACAAAATGGAGAGTACCCACCTACAAAATATTTCTTTTCCCCTTTCCTTATAATCATTGTTTGAATTAAAATCCCTTAAACTCAAAGAGTCATCTTCCTCCATTTAACTTCTATAGAGCTTAGAGTTAAGATGCTGGAACAAAACCAATATTGATCAAAATCTGTCATCAAAACTAACACAGAGGACAGCACCCTTGGAAAAAGAAAACAGCGAACAGACTGGAAAAAAATAATCTTGTCTTTGAGGTCCTACTGTCAATCAGCAGTATGAGGATAACTTGCTTTCAAGAGTTAACTGTACCATCTTTGTATCTGGCATACAATCAGACGATTATAAGGCTAAAGCAGCTTCTTTATAGACTGGCTTAAACTTAACAATGATCCTCAGTATTACTCAGAGGGCTCTCAATTTTTTTTTTTTCTAACTTGTCTGCGATGAATACACTTCAATGGTTCTACTGCCACTGGCAGAGAACCATCATGGGGAAACTACCACAAATGTCTTCTATTTTGAGATTCAACTCAGTAGCTCCAGTAATATCTGTCAGGTCATAGAATAAGCTCTTAAAAGGAAGACTTCAAATGGAGATGAACGAAAATGAGCAACAGCATAAGAAAATGTTAAAGACAACCAATTACATCAGAATTGTAAAAGACAGCAGGTGATGATTGTTTGGATTTTTGTCTCTCTTTTTTTAAAGCACAGGGGGAAAACCTAACTATAACTAGTTAACAAAGACCATTAAATCATGTAATGATAGAACACAACAGATAGAATTTCCAATATTGATCATGAGTATAAAGTGCTGCATCATCCTTTGTAGATCAGCCCATGATCACGAGATGCTTATTGTTTTGCATCAGCAACCTGACTTCCTCCTTTTCCATGCAAAGCCTGTACACTACCCTCCCAACCCCTTTCACATGCATTCCCTGCACCCCCACCTCTGTTGGAAAAAACATGAAACTTACTAGGGGGAAAAAAAAAAAAATAGTGACAACTATGTTTTATTCCATATCAAAAGCTGTTGCAACTGACAATAGATGGATTCTTACTTCTAGATGAATCTCTATTCATTTGCCCATCTCTCTCCTACATCTGCAGTTTCCTGTTTTATTTCCCCAGTATCATATTACCAAGGAGAGGACATCCGCCTTGAACTAATGCATCCACAAAGGCAACCTGCATATTATCATTCATTCTCAGAATACCTAAATTCCACTAACATCCACATCAGAGCTGTGTGTATGTTCCCTGTGGTAAATGATCATTACCTTCCCAGTTTGCAGCCATCTTGGCACTACATAGTTAGCACACACTGTTCAGTATGAGACTGACCCTTATTAGACAGCATTAACTCAATAAACTGACTGGAATGAAAGCAGAGATGATGTGCCCTGGGTTACTAAAGGCAACACATGGTCTGGCAACACTGTACAACTTAATGTTCGCATGTTTTTTCTCCTTTCTTTCTCACCTGTCACATGAAATCTCTATTTTTATTCAATTACAATTTACTTACTGGTTCCAAACTGAGGGTCTGTAGTGTGTCCAGATTTCTCTCTTTATGAATATACTTGAGCAACAAAAGGAAGGCCTGATGAACTGGACAGTAGAAATGCCCTTAAGCTTGTGATTGCTGACAAAAAGGGAGCATGGGTTATCTAACCTCTTGTTTTCTCTCTAACATTATGACAGTTTTGCATTTATCCTTATATCACATGTATGGCTGAAATCCTGTTTGTGCTGAAGATGCTGTGTAAATGGACTTACCCCTGTACATTTCAGGTCCTGAAATGTCTGAATGGGAACCCCAATGTTCTGAAATGCTGTTCAACAGGGTAATTATGCACAGACCTATTTCCCTTCACACAGATCGTAACTAAGAACCTATAATCTCTCGAGGTATTGCTAGGACACGCTTCCAAGTGTTGAGAGAATTCTTAATCAATCAGCTTCAGATATCTTATTAAGGTACATATCATTCCTAGCTGCACTTAAAAAGGTGCAGGGGGGAAGGGGAAGGGGAAGGGGAAGGGGAAGGG